GGGCATGGTTTCCAGACCCTTCACCATTTCAGTCGCCCTCCTCTGGATTCTTGAACATGCATGCTGGATTCTTATTGGTAGGCTTACCTAGAGTAGACCCATTGACTCAGCTGCTGAATGGATTTAGTGTGCTGATGAGATGGATACTTGTTCTAAAACAATATACAGAGAATGGTGAGTGATTAATGGTATAGGCTTGGTACTGAGCTGTGGCGTTCCAGGTGAGAGCTCTTTCAGATTGAAGGGAAAACACAAGAAAACACAAAAGGCTTACTTTGAGAAGGGAGAAAGGTGCTGGCTGTAGAGGGATAGAAAAATGGAGAATGAGCATAGAAGAAATAAGAAGAGGGTCAGCATTGGTATAGCATTAAGGAGGCACGGTTCTACGTGGAATTTTTGTCTTATTTCAGCCTTTCAAATGTCTTTCTACTTTTCTTTTGCTTCTCTTACAAAACATAATTTGCTTCCCCCTCTTGTATCATCCAGTTTAGTTTTTGACTTACAGCAGGATAAAAATACTTATCTTCCAATATTCCTGGATGCAAACCAGGACACGTGTCTTCTGAGCAGCATCAGACTGTGATTAAGATGCAAAAGTTATTAGTGAGGAAGGACAGAAAAGTTAGGAGAGGCTGCAGCAGTTTGCTTCTGCCTGAGCCTCCTGAGAAGGGAAATATTCTCACCTCCTCTCCTCATCCCTGCTGAATTAATTTTTTAAAAACTTTTATTATTTATTAAAACACACATAACATATAACATAACATATAAACAAAAACAATAATAAACAGACAGCTTACATATACATACATACATACATCACATTTCACAACAACAACAAAACATAAAATATGACTTCCCCTCCTTTACTTTGAATGTAATTCTTATTATTTTTAACTTTCATATACCTCCTTTATGCATTATAATTTGATTTCCAATTCCTCTTCTGTTTTACTCCTGTTTTTACATTATTATTTTTCATCATCCTTAACCGTTACACACCATATATTTTAATCCACTCTACTTATTAATTTTTAACAGAGCCGCTTTTTCTCTCATAACACAAAAATTATTGTCAATATCAATATCTGATTATTTAATAACCCCCTTTCATTTCCATGCAATCACACTGTTTTCTCCCCAGATTTCTTTAAAATATTCTATAATCGGTGTCCATCCCTGCTGAATTAATTTTAACTCCTTTTGCACTTTGAAATCTGATTGCAACAATTGAAGTAAGCTGAGGACAAAGGGAGACGTGGGAGGAGAAAGACACTGGAACATTTTAAATGCAGCTAAAAAAATGGGAAGACAAAGGATTATTCTGGAATGTCTCTGCCAAATCAACACAGCTGGAGGCTATGAAAATATAAGCAAACAAAGCAGCAAATATAAGCAAACCAGCTCAGAGGGGATGAAACCCCTTTGCAGCACTATAAAGCCCACCTTCATGCCTTGTTTTGAATGTGTATGTGTAGTTTGTGAGAGCCAGTGTAGTGTAGTGGTTTGAGCATTGTACTATAACTCTGGAGACCTTGTTTCAAATCCCTGCTTGGCCATGGAAATTCACTGAGTAACCTTGAGTGAGTCACACTCTCTCAGCCTCAGAGGAAGGCAAAGGCAAACCCACTCTGAACAACAACAACAACACACGATAGGTTCAACTTAGGTTCACCATAAGTCAGAAATTACTTGAAGGCACACAACAAAGTGTAGGAGCCAACGTGGTGTGGTGGCTTGAACACTGGACTTTAAATCTAGAGGACAGAGTTCAAATCCCCACTTGGCCATGAAAGCCCACTGGGTGACCTTAGACAAGTTGCACTCTCATTTTCAGAGGATGGCAATGGCAAACTCCCTCTGAAGAAAGTTGCCGAGAAAATCCTGTGATAGGGTCACTGTAAGTCAGAAATGACTTGAAGGCAGACAACACAATGCACAACAACGTGTAGTTTGGTCCTGCATAGATAAGAATATCGCTTGGAAAATATATACCCTTTTTCATGTGGAAAAAATGAATGGGCTTATGCTACTAAAGTGGATGTTACCTAACATTTTGCCTGATCCATTAAAAATAAGTCATACAGGTTTTACACTCCCCATATCCTTGGAATATGTTTGCAGTCCCTTGCAAAGGAATATGTGGCTGGACTGTCATTCCCATCAATCTAGCCAGCTGTGCCAATCATGAAGGATGAATGAAGTTCCAGTCTAATAACATCTGGAGGACTAGAAGATGCCCTTTTCACAATATGTATGCCCTATTTAATTAAGGCACTTCCAACTTTTACATGTTCAAGTAGAACTTTTCTCTGCTGGTCTTTATGTTCACCAAATATGATAAGGTTTAGAATATCTCATTTTCTTATTATTTTATAAATACATCCAAGTTTATCACAACATCATTCATTAATTCATTCAGAAGAAGGAGAGTCCATCACTTTCCAAGGCAGCTCATTCCTTTGTCAAACAGCTCTTACAGTCAAGAAGCTCTTCCTAATGTTCAGACAATTTTTTTCCCTTTGTAACAAATTGCACTACACTGCAATAAAACCCATTTTAAAAAGCATATCATTTAAACCAGCAATTTCCACCATTTCTGTCTAAGAGAACCCTTTCCACTGCAGTTTGCCTGGCATAGAAAAGTTGTCATTCCATCTCATTCAGCTATGACCTATCTTCCAGCCATTCCATGACTTCCCACCATTCAGTAGGCTTGATGCTAATAATAATGTTAATAACAACAATTTGCACTTTCATCAAATGTTTAGACACAACACCACTGTCTTGAAAGGCTTATAAAACTTGTCCCTTGTGGGCAAAACAAACGTGTGAAGACAGAAATACTGAACTACTGTTTATATAGTCTTGACAATTTTTTTTAAATGCTTTAAATTTGTGTGTTTGTGTGGACACGAAAAGCAGACAGAAACAATTCTCCATTCAATGTGGTGAAATGTGAGGCTTTAAAAATAGTCATGGCCTCAGTTTCAAGTGTGAATATTTCCTATACTTTTTTTTAAAAATTGTAGGCACGGCAATCTGTTTAATTCTCCAAGGATGTGTAGAAGGAAAGGAACTGGCTTTCCATTGCCTGCACACTCTTGTTAATTGAAATTGTCGTAAGTCCTGATTATAACAGCTGACACATCGTGGACCAGTAACAAATAGAAGCTTTGAGCTATGAAACTATTTGTCTTAAGATCTCTGGGGATTTGTGCTGCTGTCGTAGTTCTTTCCTGCAAGGAAGAAATGAAAGGACCAAATTTAGAAACATAGGGCAGGACTTGAGCCAATATCCTTCCAAGAAGTGCAATGAAGTCCTCGGTTTTATTTGAGAATCAGCCTTCACCAGCATAGTTGTCTTTCTCCCTGAGAGTCTTCCCTGATCATTGTTATACTATTTTGGGTTACAAATAATAAACCAAAGGAAGTGATGCAGAAGAAAAGCAGAAAAGGCAGGATTTAATCTGTTGTTTACAATTAAATATTAAGATCCCTGTTTTTAACACATTCAGAGATGTATCTTTTGTATATAATTCTCCATCTAAAGGGAGAAGGTGGGAGACCCAATCATTGGAGAGAAAAAGAAATATTTATCTTGCAAATGCAGGCAGAGTATTCTTTGTAGCTTCTGTGAGTATGGCAGAAAATGTGCAATGCATCTCTCTTACATAAAAGGACTGTCCTAAAATGACACTTCAGAATTCAGACTGTACTCATAACAGAGTTTTAGAGTACTCGAACATGACATGCGCTGCTTTTCAGCTATATGGAAGCTGATAAGGACCACAGGATTGTACCTGATTATCTCACCTGGATACACACAGAAAACTGCATCAATGGCCCCAAGATTAATTTCTGAAAAAGTATAAACTTAGTATCTCTGTATCCAGATATAGTAATGATCACTTTACAATCCTTGCAGTTAGCAAGTGTACAGCCGCACCTCGGATGGTTACAAGAAAGAGTCATTCTGAAACTAGAACTGAACTACTGAGGGCTGTTAGATTTGCCAGAGTGAAAGCTGAAGTGGGATCCTGTATCTGTAGTATAATATAATAAATAATACAGGTGGTGTAGAAGAGGGAATTTCAGCAAGCGTTGCTTGCTACCTGGTTGCATGACAAGCAACATCTACTGAAATTCCTTCTTCTACTCAACAATTAAAGGTACATAAGCCCTCTCCAGGTTTCAAACTTAAAACCCAATTCCTCATTTCAGTGGCATCCCTCAAGTTCATGTCACCTGTTGGACTGCGGCTGGGGATGAACTGCCTTGCCTTCCCCTCGGCCCCGACCGCTGCATCCCCCCAAAGGCATTTGGGGTCAACGTAGCTGCTGCTATCATGCCGAACCCTGAAAGCAATGCCCTCCAGCAGCAGTCACTGCCACTGAAGGGGGGCACACTATGATTTCCAGAGGCCTGTTTAGTGTCTTGTGAGGCTGCTGGGTGAGCAGGAAAGTGCCCTTTCTCACCCAGTAGCTGTTCCAGTCCCTCTGGGTGTACCACCTCACCAGGTGACACCCCTCTCTCGGGTGTCACCCAGTGCGTTCTAACCCCCCGCACCCTCTGCTGATGCCACTGTCTTACTTTTATGCTTTTATTGGGAACTCTGACTGGCATGGAACAAGAGGCCTATAACTGTTGTGGAGGTATTAGGGTGGAATACTTTTCTTTCCCACCCCGCTAGGCTTTCCGCTATGTCTCCTGTATCTTAGAGGGTTTAAGTGTGAGACTCTCCATCTGCTCTGAACCTGAGTGATGTTTAATTTAAGCCCTATTGAAGGGGGTGGAAATGGAAAACAAAAATGTTATCCTTTCTCCTTTTCTTTTCCCCTGTAGCATCCCTGAATAATGCAAGAAGGCAAATTTTAACCTCATGTACCTGCATACAAGAATGTGCACCCCCGCACCCGCTCCCTGAATCCCACCTAGGATACTTCATATAAATGGTTAGAGGCTGAAATAAGGTAGGGGCTGTATAGACAGCCCCTAAGGGGTGGTGTCCCGCCACCACTTTCCTTGCTGGATTGGGGCCACGGCAACCCCACGCCGTGGCCCCAATCTGGCAATTTGCCACTCTAAAAAGAGCTGGCAAGTGCCATGCTTTTCAGTGCTCCTTTGGTGCAACATGTATGAACACTGTGCCAAGGGAGCGCCCTGATACAACCCGCTGTCTGTTTGGGTGGGCTGCGTGATGGTGGCATCAAGGCAGAGTTGGGTCAGCCAGTGTGCAGTCGCCATGCCCCAACTCCATTCCCAGGCCGGCCCTTTTGGCCGATCTGTATAGCCCCGTAGTTTCCCTTCTCTTTCCCCCAGCTCACTGTTTCTGCATCATCCTGGAAGCTCACACAGGCCCTTTGTCAATTTGTGTTTTTTTTGTGGGGAGGGGATGATGTTTAATTTAAATATAAAAATGTAAATGGCTGAAATTCACAATCGCACTTACAAATGCATAATCTAGACTTTTGTAACTGATTTGTATTTGCAATGCCTACATAATGCAATAGTGTAGTGAATGAGTTCTAACTTACCAGTTCTAACTTACCAGGGAGGTTCTAACTTACCAGGGAGGAGCCACAGCAAGCAATGGCGGTCAGGACACAGTCGACTGATGTCTTTACCACCACCCCTCCTGTGACTAATCGTCAATGCAAAGAGGGATTGCAATAGAGATCCTGCTTCTGACTGTCGCTCCAAACAACAGAACACACCCCCATTGCTTGCAATGGCTAATGTCCTATAAGCCAGGATTGAGGGGGTTGAGACACTACTTCAGAGACATTACTTAGCTATTCAACTTAGATAATTACCTAACTAGGTAGAATTCAAGACCATATTTTATGTACCTTGGGAAGCCATTGAATATGCTGTACCACATACTTTATTTTTGGCTGGCCTTCTTTTGCTCCTTAATAGTAAGTAACTGATAGCTACCCAAGTTTGTCTTAGAGGTAATGCCTAAATCACCAGGAACATACGATGATGACATACGAACAGAACAATCCACAGAGCATGTCCAGGGGGTGACCAAAATGGTGAAAGGTTTGGAAACCATGCCCTATGAGGAGAGATTTAGGGAGCTGGGTATGTTTAGCCTGAGGAGAGAATGTTAAGGTGACATGATAGCCCTGTTTAAATATTAAGGATGGAGCAAGATTGCTTTCTGCTGCTCCAGAGACTAGCACACAGCAATCAAAACTACAGGAAAAGAGATTCCACCTAAATTTCAGGAAGAGCTTTCTGACAATAAGAGCTGTTCAACAGTGGAACACATTCCCTCAGAGTGTGGTAGAATCTCCATCTTTGGAGGTTTCTAAACAGAGGCTGGATGGCCATATGTTGGGGGTGTTTTGATTGTGTACTCCTGCATGGCAGGAGGTTGGACTTCATGACCCTTGAGGTCTCTTTCAACTCTATGAGTCTATGAGACAGAGCCAAGTTTAGTTTTAACTAAAATATGCCAACAAATATGGAAAACAAAAGCAGTGGTCCACAGACTGGAAGTGATTAATATATATTTTCACACATAAAAAAGGAGACACAAAAGATTAATTACAGAATCATTGCATTAATATCCCATGCAAGCAAAGCCATGCTCAAAATTCTGCAGCAAAGAATCCTACCATACATGGAGCATGAAATTCCTGAGGTACAAGCTGGATTCAGGAAAGGAAGAGGCACCAGGGATCCCATTGTGAACATATGTTGGATAATGGAGCACACCAGGAAATTCCAGAAGAAAATCTGCATGTGCTTTATTGATCACAGCAAAGCCTTTGACTG